CACTTCATGGCGCCGGAAGTGATCCAACGGCGACAGTATGGGAAACCCGGTGACGTCTGGTCAGCCGGAGTGCTGCTACATGTCTTGTTAACTGGCACACTTCCGTTTGTCGGATCTCGAGACAGACTGCGGGAAGCGATCTGTCGAGGGCGGGTGCAGGTAATCGTCACGTCTTATGATCTTAGTTTCTAACACCGCTAATCCGGATGAAACGAGGCGGTTGGAGAATTTTAATAATGCTTGCCCGTGCAACCATTCGCATCCGGGTCGCGCAATTCTCCGTGCACGACGAATAATTCCAATTTAATTGAATTTGCAGATGGAGACACCACTCTGGGATCCCATTAGTGAGCCGGCGAAAGATCTCATACAGAGAATGCTCACAACCGACGTGAATCATAGGATCACCATCCAAGAGGTTCTCAACCACAAGTGGCTCAGAGTAAGTGGAACGGTTCGCTCGGTTCGTGCTTCTATTTGGTACTCTTCTATGCATACAGAGCACGCAGGGGAAATCCCGCGGTTTGATCCGGCGTATTATAATCGTTTGCGCGGGCGTTCGGTGACGATCAGCATTCTACGTCACGTCGCACAACTCCTGATAGGGATAATCGATGTAATGGCTTCCGTTTCATCGCCGGTGATAGTACATCGGATTTTATTTTTTTATAATTATTCCATGCATATATATGTATATATACATAAATATATAAATATAAATATATATGTATATGTGTATATATAATATATACATATATATATGTTATATATATATATATAATACACGTGGCCTCGTTCCTCCTTATTATCTCCAATGAATGTACGTGCGCACGCGCGCGTCGTATGGTGTGGGTATACCTATGTGGTGCAACAGTTAGCCAGTGACCTAAGGTAGGAATACTCGCGGAGTCACCCCCATACTGCTTCGATGCAACACACGTGCAACTGGGCTATCGATCGCTATAGCGGGAGCGAAGCCTCCGGGCGGTTAATGAAAATAACTATAGTAAAGTACACCTCGCGCTCGGTGTGTACTGCTTAGGGCTTTTTTATGTGGCTGTACGTTCGTCGAACCCCCGTAGACTTCGTGGAAGCAAGTACACTCTCTCTCTCTCTCTCTCTCTCTCTCTCTCTCTCTCTCTCTCTCCTTTCGCTTCTCCATGACGGTATAATACGCCCCGATTGCAGGAAGGGAGAATAATTGCATATCATTCCGCTGCTGCTTCAGCATTTTCTTTATGATGTTTACGACGTTTACGATATTTGCTGTTGCTACACGCAACGTCTATGAACAAATTTTTATTTATTTCAAAGCTGATTGATTCACGCTTGATTTATTTACGTTGATAAGTTGTTGGTTTAATAATTTATTGATGACTCGAAGAAATATTTTTCTTAATTATATTTTGCACTTGCAGTTTTGGCATTTGTGATTCATTGTGTCCTTGTCAATAAAAGCATGGTCATTATTTATTTTACAGCGATTGTTTTATAGCGAATGAACGGATCTTAACTTACAGGATCGTGATAAGGGTGCAGCCCGTATACATTTAGGTGACACTATAGAAGAGCTTAAGAAATTCAATGCGAGGCGAAAACTGAAGGACGCCGTAAAAGCAGCCATCTCTTCGTCGAAGTGGCATGCTCCGTATTCAGAAGCTAATGGCGACAATTTCTCTGACGTCGGCGATGACGAGATAACTACAGGTATATCGAACGCGAGCGATTTCAAAATTTCATTTCTCTGATATGTACAAATATTACAAAATGCAATACAGATAAACGTGTTCCTCTCGACAGATGTTTAATTCCCAAGGAGGAAGGGGACAAACATAGATTTTATTTGGACGAATTTAATCTGTGTTTCAATTATCGAATTATCAGAGACATACAATATTAAAAATTAAATGAGAAAGCGTTTTAATAGATGCCGTTAAAACTGGAATTTTGCTAACGTCAAATTTTACTTCTTCAAAAATTCAAAAGTACTCTGCATGCGTTTAATTGATCGCGATTTATTCAATAAAAGTAATTATAATATAATATAGGCCAATATTTCGTTCACATGTTCTGAGCTTATTATTTCAACAATGAGAGATCGATGATACCTATCGTGTAATTTGGAAATATCGTTAATTTCCTCGAATATTACGTTAATAGACCAAGTAAATGAGCGCAAATAAGCGAATGAATAATTTGCCTTAATGAGTGGGAACGATGTTATGAGTATAAATTATTTATTTATACATATATGTTTACGTTCGCTCGCTTGATCTGCATCCAGCTTAATAGAGAGCATTATTCAGTATTGTCTATCGCTGTATATATCTATAGATTACAATTACAATAAATCTTCAAAAAAAAAATGCATCAATTCTGTTTCATAAACGTTCAACGTTTCGTAAAATCAATATTTCATACGTTCTTATGTTATAGGCGCTGTAGCTGAAATTGTGGATTGCTTGGATGACATTGAAATTCTTGAGGAAAGTGACAGACTATTGCGGTCAGAAGTTCTGAATGCCGTTGATGATCATCGAATTCGAGTCATCTTAGAGGTATTTTTTACAGCAATTCGTAATTACATAAAAATAATAAGAACATGCCGACTTGGCTAAGAGAATGAAAGAGATTAATGATTAAAAGATTGCAATGAACTATGAAATCTCAGTATTCAAACTTTTCGCTTGTCAGACAGATAATGTCGATTTAATCGTAAATGTACGAATTATCGCGTATTCATTGCGAAAATATCGCTATGCATGTTCCTCAATGCCTTTAGATATTCAACATAAAATGACTTTAATTACACAGTATCTTCTGTTTATGCGATAATCGATTGTTTCATTTTATTTATGTTCAATTTTTATTTTGTTGTATGAATTTTCGTAATTATAATTGGGTCTTAATCGGTAATAAGATAATTCTGATTCTGTGCAGATTAGAAATAAAAAAATTCACTTACTGTTTAAATATCAAAAATTATCTTGAAAAATTTTCTTTATAATGCTGCCGTAAGAATCAGTTAGAAATTGAAACACGTGATCTCAAAAAAACAAAGTTTTGTTTATAATTTAGTGCAAATTCGAAAATACTGTATAATGGATCCATTCTTTTTTTTTTTAATGTAATAATATTTGTTAATAAAATGTCATTTGGTAATATCGTCTTAATTGTGAAAATATAACTCGCTAAATGTATTCGTATAATGAAAATTATACATTTACCGAATTTATTTCTTCTCTTTTCTACGATTAAAAATATAAAGGATGTAATTTAAGTAAAAAAAAAAATTTCTAAAAAATTTATATTTTATTACAAATTTTACTTTATATTAATTATTATTTATTTTATTAATTCGACATTTTTTCAATAGATAGAATTGTCACTTTTATTTATTCAAACAATTCTTTTCTTCACGTAGCTATTTCATAGATGAATAATTTGTAATAGGGCTTTTCTTTATGTCTGACATTATTTTTGCGTTATTTATATTCTTATCAACAGCGAAATTTTCTGCAATCAATTGCAAGTGGCAAAGACAGAATGCTTTCGTCACACGTAGGGTAAAACAGAATGAGTTATTTCTTACCAAAGGCGGGTAACGACCATCACCTCCCCTTGAAACGCTTGCGCATTTATTTGAACTGTTATCTTTCAACTCGCCCGGATCGGTAGCCATATTGGAAAGGCACCCCCTTTTCGCGCGGTTGAGTTCCGTCGTTGCAGAGCTTGAGCTTTTCTACTGAGAGCGGAGCCACTCATCCTCGACTCTCTCAGTGGTCCCCCTCGACCATAGAGGGATAACGTAACCCCCTGCAGGATATCCCGCGGGAACGGGCTATCCACTCTCGTTCCTTTCGAGGAAAAGCACGCAAGCGCTACCTCCGAGCTGGCAAGATGGCTGCCGTGGAGTCCTGATAAACAATATGCCACGCACGAGCGAGGGATCACACTATCGCGCCAACACGCGTGCCAATGTAAACTTGTTCTTCGGTGGTTCTTGAAGTGTCACGTGGCCGAATGAGCCACGTGCTAGGACCATGTCACACGTGGTTCTAGCCCGGTGAGGCTTATGTGCACTGTTTATGCAGCAGAGATGCATCTCTGTCAGTTAATGTTCATCGGCGACGCCGAGCTAGCTGGCGATCTGCTCGAAATCGCGGGTCTCTTGGTGAGTAAATTAATTCGATCGAGCCGAATATAAAGCGGAAATATTGCCAGGCAAATTTGAAATTTTATATACATAAGTAATACCGATCCTTCGCAAATTTATGTGCATTCGCTGTATGAGAATATGTCATGGATTGTTTACAAATTGTTTTCAACCTCAGTATATGTGTTATCTAATAATGTTGTAATTTTCTTAATTTTCAGTCTTTTTAATAAACTCATTTTTTATTGTGTTATACTTATGTGATATTTATTATTTAAATTTATTTTTTACTACGTTTTCATAAGAATATTTTTTGTAAATAAAGCGTGGAATTTAAACATTATCACAGAAAAGTTTGAATACTCTGATAATATTTTTACGTTAATTATTAAAATGTTATATTTTTTAGTATTTTAATAAAATTAAAATGAAATCTTGCAATCTGCACTTTTAATTTCAGAAAATGTGTAACGATGACTATTTTTTGTTAAATAAATACGAGATTACTTGTATAAACGATATGAAAAAATAACGAAAGAAATTGAGAAACTTATATTAATGTTGATATTTCTGATTTCTAGCTTTATGACAGAATCTCAGGTCGTGTACCAGCACCGTATCGAGCACCACAAACGGATGCAGTCCAACGTGCCCGTGACGTTGAAGAGATCCTTCGGGAAGCAGAGCATTCGGCGGTGCGAAATATTGACAGAGCGGATCTTCGAGAACTTCACGAATTATTGGTCCAGCCGCACATGAGGGTAAGTACGTTATATTGATTTAACATTAGAAAATTAATGCAGATGGAATAAACAACTTGCTTTTCTGCTTATCCCTCACACAAAGTTAATTCTATTAATAAATTCTATTATAAATTGTTAAATAATGCTTATTAATTATTAAATATCTATTAATCTATTATTTAAAAAAAGATTTCATATCAGTTTCATATGTGTCTTTACACATATTACTTTATATATTGTGTACCGTTAAGAAAATTGTTGAAATTTATAAAAAAAGAAACTGATACATTTTAATTTAAATCAATCCTTGATATAAATTCATTTATTTACGAATATAACTTTTACTTGAAATATTTTTTGCATAATATTGGAAATTACAACAGTTTGAGATTGCATTGTTGCGTCAAGCAGTTATTGCTAAATCGATCGTCGGTAGTTACGGGCTGCGACACGTTTGTAATAACCCAAGCGTTAATCAGGCACGACTTGATTCGTATTACATTACGAATCAATAACGATTTTTCAATTGCTCACGTGAATGAATTCAATTAATAAGAAAATAGGGGAAATATTGATGATTAATTATAGCTTGAATGATACTAAGTAATTTCTTAAGAATACCTCTAGATATTGATTTAAAAAAAAGCTACACTCTTTGTGTATCTTTTTATTAACAATTATATAATATTTTAATGACATTTGGAATATTAATTAAAATGGAAAATCCTGATATGAAAGTGTCGAAATCATAATTGGTTTTGATTTGTTTTAACATAGAAATTATTATGATACGATTTTATATTATTTTGACTTAATTAATCTTCAGAATATGATGTTACAGTATTGTACAATGGTTACGTAATATTCTGTACATAAATCAAATGATTTGTAAGTGTGATTAATCTGATAAATATTACTGGATTACTGGAATTTATTAATTACATAGTGATTATTACAAGCAAATGAATAATTTGCATTATGATGGAAAATTCGCAGTTTCTTTTATTATACATATATACATGTATATGTATAATTTATCTCGTTATGAATATAATAAATATTATACATATTACACACACACACACACACACACACACACACACACACACACACACACACACACACACACACACACATATATAATTATAATATCTATATACATATTTAATATTTATCATATCTACATATTTAAGATTATACATATATATTTTTCATACAATTCCATTATATATATATATTTATGTTAAAAATAACTTTTAAATGATATATTATACCATAAAATTTACGCCTGTGCGATGTAATAATTTTTCATGTGCACAAGTATGTACATTTACATGCATTTATGTGACAGCAAGATATATTTGGTGGTTTCTAAATATAAGAGAGTTGAAAGAAATAGCCCGTGAAATCCGCGAAAAGATTGATCGTTATCGGACGATTTGTGGCGACTTTCCGCAAACTATTCCGACATGGGTATTCCGATAATCGTCTAACCGCGCCATTGCATTGCTGTTTGTCCTTATAGAGGTGATCGTTGGTTTTGCCAGCATATTTATCGCGGTGTTTGACATTACCGTAGAATATACTGTAAATGGGGCGCGGAAATGTAGGTCGATCGTTAAAATTCTCGGTTAAAAATCCCGTAGCTGTTGCGGGCGGGATAGGAAGGGCAGGGAGGAAAGAATTATAGCAGGAGTAAGATAAATGTAGAGAAAAGGAGCGAAAAGCGGAGAGATAGATTGAGAATGCGAGATTTAAACGGACCGTGGCGCATTCTGATAGGTATACCCTCGTTACTAGGCGCCTTATTAATCCCATCTTTATCCTTGAGGCGCGATACTCATTATTTATTTGCAACCTCCGCCTTCGTCCGCGTTTCTGTCTGGTCCTATTTTAGATCGGTGTCTCGAGAAATGGAGAACCCGGCTGTGCTCTTTTACGTGATATTTGGCATTGCGCTCCGGATACGACCAAAATCGATGTGGCGCCCTACTTCGATTAGCGACACAAGTAGAACGGGCAAAAATAAGAGTGTCTGGTGCATTTAATTACATATGTTGAATCGTTTGGTGGAGCTACGGTTCTCGTTCCTTCCGCAAGAAATGATAGCTATCTATACACATAAACATCCGAAGAATTGTTGGTTAGAGGAATTATATTATTCTTAGAATTTAACTTGCTTCGTTTTATTAATCTTGAATCGAAGATAATGCACTCCATTTATTAAACATCACGTTTTGAATTACAAGTACGTGTGTATTTGTTGTTTAATATAGAGATGTTCATCATAACTGTTATATTAAATTTCGATAAACGTTACATACATTGATAAAATACAATTAAATAAAGAGAAATTATTTTTTATTATATACGCAATTTCGTAATTAAATCTACAATTGATGCAAAATTGAAAAGACTTTTTAAATCTCTGTCGTGTAAACTAAGAAAAGGAAAACATATTTAATCGATTCCCACGAGAAAGTAAAACTTGTTGCTTCGTTGAGACAGGAAATAATATTGTGGCAAGAGGATTGATCCAGAGCTTAAAATGCATGATAGAAAAAGCTGAGAGCTCTTGATCCATCTATTCTACTATATAACCCGATCACGACAAATATTCAAAGAAAAAATTAACGTATGCTTAATGTTTCGAGGAATCGTAAAGATTGATGAAATGCATTCACATGTGTGTATATATGAAAACGATATATATAAAAAAATTGTAAAAATAAATTATGCATCTAGTAAATAATGCTTAACGCATTCTTTTTAAGAAACCATGCAATGAATTCCTTTTATGCATGAAATATTTTTCAAAATTCACTCAGTACTGTAATTTAGGAAATTAATTTAAAAGTCGAAAATCTTAATATGAAAAATTTTGGTTATATTTTTTGAATTACTCTTACATACCTACTTTATATATTTTTTGAAGGAATATAATCGGAATTGTTCAATAATATCATACTACTTCTTAGCTCGCCACGGTCTGTCATTGATTTTTACTACATAAATAATATTAACTCTGCTTTTGATTTTGTAATTTCACTTCAGGCAGTTTATACAATAGATATATAATTTGTATAAGAATTTATTATAATATTCCGTAATTTTATGTATTGTACACAATATGAAAAACATTCACAGAATGTAATATCAAACTTTTGAAATATTAGAATACGTACAAACATATAATATATATTAAAATATGATGCATACGTGAGTTGAATGTGCCACATATAAATTATAAATAGAATTCCATCCTGAAATCTGACGTGAATTATCATCTGAAGAACGTATAAGTATTACATACGTACGTTATAACAATCAGTTGATATTAACAAGTTTATTATTGACAGCGAATTTTTGTTATCATAAAAAGATATAATCCTTTCTTTTTAATAAAAATTCTCAATCAAGCAGAATTAATCATGGCTTTAAGCGGTGGGAAAATATGCAACATGGAAAGTAAAATGCGCGATAGATCATTTTCAAAATTTGAAAGAAATAAAAATTCAAAAGCAATAAAAATTTGAAAGAATTTGATGTGAATAGATTTGTGAGATGAGAAAGTATTATTTTAAATGGCACGCGGCCTTGACTTTGTCGTTACAAGTTTAACGTACCGCGTGCTATGAAGTCTATTCTTTTTAGTTAAACTTCTTGCACAGTTCATCACTTTCCTCCTTTTCTCTCCCACATTGAAAAAAAAAGAGAAAAGATGAACCGTGCAAGAAGTTCGATTAAAAGGAATAATCTAGATATATAAACAAAGGTCACCGCTCTAACAAACGCGCGCCGAATTGTTTACGTAAAGTCATCGTGTTATCAGCTATCATTCGCAGTTATACGCCGATAGTAGAAAAAATAGGTAGCAGTTTGGCTGCTCCGTATTTCGTCGCGTTATTTTTCGAAATTACTCACAGACAATTAGCAATAATTGTCATCTCGCGTGATTAGTCAATTCCTACAATCGAAAGGGTGTCGAAGTGATAACTACTGTATTTTAAACTTCTTATTGATTCGTCAAGTTTCTGTTTCGAAAATGTGGAATAATATAAGGTGTTTATGGTTATATTGTATTTTTTAATATTTATTAATGGCACAACAAGAATTCGGCGTTTGCATATCGGTGATTTGTTACAACTTTTCGAGAAATTCTTTCGTTGCGCTAATTTGGAAAATTTTACGCATGTCGAACGAATTGTAATATCGTAGCTCTACACGAACTACGCAACTTACTTTCTTCACATTGTTTTCTTCCTTCACAATATAATATAATACGTGCCGCGAGCGATTAACATCGAAAGTTTAATATATCGTGTAATTTTAATTAACTGTGTAAATTTAATTAATCGCATGAAGTTCCTGCTTGAGCATTTTTCGATCATTTACAGAACATCACAGTGCCTGTGTTCTGTACGGATTCAGCCATAAGACCTGTTCTTTTTAGCTGAACTTCTTGCACAGTTTATCTTTTCTCTTCAACGTGAAGAGAAAAAGAAGAAAGATAAATCCGCACAAGAACTTTAGCTAAAAAGAACATACCTATAGTAAAAGGAATAACAAATTTCAGTTCATCTAAAATCGGATACATCGAAATACACGTTTCTGATAGGTTGTAATCTGTTCCTTGTTTCTTATTCTTTATTCCTTTCATTGTATCTGAGTTCTAAAGCCATAAATATAATAAAAAGACACAGACAATAGAACAGGAAAGAAGAGATTTCAACTTATCAGAAATCTTGCATTCTAGTATATACGATTTCTAGGAGGTTGAAATCTTTTATTCTCTGTTCCTACTGCATACGCTTTTCATTGCGTGTAACTCTAAAACGGGGAACACAGACTTTTGCATGTTTGATACATAAAAAAATGAACCAGTCAAAGTCCTTCATTTCCTTCCTTTTTATGAAATAAAGGACTCTGACAAGACCAATTACATGAAAGAATTTTACAACAGTTGCAAAGCTGCTTTTCGTGCTGAATGCAGCACGATGTCAGTGCCAACGATGCGG